GAAAAAATGGAAATAAAGTGTCTGTAAATGGGGAGGGGAGGAGGGGGTGAAGGGAGGGCAGGGACAAGGGAAAAAATGAGAACCAAGACCTGTCATGTAAAAGTACAAGATCCCAGTAATGAATGTAACTGTACTGTATACCTAAAATTACCAATAAACTCCATGAGAAAAGAGAAAAAGAAAACCGATAATCCTTTTCGGCTTCTCTAACCTTTTTCAGCTCTGTGTCCCTCTCACCTGCTCATTTTTCTCAGTGTTCCTTGGTGCTCAGTGTGTTTTTAACAGCACCTGTTTTCTATCATTTTTCTTTTTCACTTCTGCTACTTACTTTAAACTTCATCTTCTATTATCTCGCTTTTTCTTCTCAGAATCCTTATCTCTGTTCCTTGGGTCCTTATCTTAAAGGATTATTTTATTAAATTCCTTGAGTTAATAATTATATTTTTATCACAACTTTCATCTACTTCACAGCAGAATATTTTTCTGATAAGTGTCTTTGACCTTTTTTTCCCCCCTGTTTCTTTCCCCATCTTTCTCCTGATGTTTTTCCCCCTATAAACCTTATACTGGTTCCTTTTCACTATTGTTTATCATAGAATGAGCTGAATTCTTCTTGGAGTAATTGTTTGCAGCTTTTATTGAGGAAGAGAGCAGAGCAGGTTCAAGATTGGAAATAATTCTCTTTGATTTTGGAAGGAGGGCCTTATGAGTAAAAGAGACAAGAGAGGGCAGAAAAGGGAAGAAAAAGGAGAGAGGGAGAAGGAGAGAGAAATGAAATTGTTACAAGACCCTTATTGAAGTGTAGATTTGTGTGTGTGCATGCAAATAATCCTGGGCCCTCTGGTTCCCCAGCCAACAGACAAGCACAGGTAATCCGGGTAATCTTGAAGCCACCCACGACCCAGTCTCTTTGCCAAAACGCACCTGCTGAAATGCCTTGCCTCTGCTACATTGCTTCTCCCAGATGGGTGTAAAGGATCTCGGCTCAAACCTGCTACCATCCACATCCTGTCACTGCTGTGCAGACTCTGTGTGAGACCTGGTGCCACCACAAATGGACCCTCTGCACCTTACCCATCCCCTGTGTTTGATCATCCTGGGCCCTGGGCCATCCTAGCTCATTTATGCAGGTTACAGAAAGCTAATTTTACCATTGAAAATGAGTTTATATTTCAGACTTCTCCTGCAATTTTTATTTTCAAATGATTTCCAAGATAAGGGAGAGAACAGAGAAATTTTCATTCAACCATCTTAAAACCATTATGAACTTAGCTTTACTTTGAAAAGTATTTTCTTTTAATTTAGGTGGCAAATGAGGTAAGCTGTCTCTTTTCTGCTGCCGTTTTAGTAAGACCATTTCCATTTCCAAGAAACCACCATCTCATTGCTTAGGAAAATATCATTTGAGAGAATTTTGATTTTAGCAAAGATTATATGCTATTTTTAATTTCTTTAATATTTATCTCAAAGAAGTACTCATTTGCTTCTCACAGTTGTGCACATTAGGAAGAAAGAAAACCTCTTCATGATTTTTAAATGGAAAATCAGATGGACATCAAAGCCCAAACTGGTGGCCTGTCCTCCTAGTTGTCAAACTATTTCTCTCTGGCTACATCGTTTTGCCACATGCCAGATAAGGCATCACAGGTAGGCACTGTGAGCTTTAAGAACCCAACTTTCAGAATCTATTTCCCACACTGACAATGAGGTCTACCAACAGGTAGAAACTTCTGCATGTCTCGTGCCTGTTAGTATGACTATGTTTCTCTAATAACCATGATTATCTGACATATGGACTCAGACGGAAGATTCATAAGCTGCTGCCAAGTATAGCTCCATCTTTTGCTCAAACAATTGGCCTAATCATTTCATTGATAAATGTGTATATACCATTGTCCGTGTGTGTGTGTGTGTGTGTGTGTGTGTGTGTGTCTATACAACTTCCAATGCAGCAATGCTTGGCATTTTGGCATTATCTTTGGCCTTGCAATACCAGAATACCTAAAACATAGTCCTCATCTTTTAACCTTTGAGGAGCCCATGATCCAGTGAAAGAAGAAACATAGACCTATGAAAAGAAAATTGTCAGAATACCTTACACCATGATAAAAATGTGACCAAAGAATACTGTAAGTTCATGTAAGCCTGTCACAAAAAGAGGAAAATTTGTGCAGAAATCTGGCACCAGAGTGGAATTTTAAAGGATTAGTAGGAATTTTCCAAGTGGTGAAGGCCGTGGCATGCAGGCTAAATAGCATGGATAAATACATGGAGATATACAGAAAAGCTATGTGTCTTAGTCTGTTTTCTGTTGCTCTAACAAAGTATGCGAAGATAGGAAGGTTAAAAACAAAAGAGGCTCATGGTTCCTGAGGCATAGAAGCCTTAAGATTCTGTGTCTTATACCATATCAGAATATGGTGGATGGCATTCCATGCCAAGAGAACAAGTGAACGAAGGTGGCCGATGTACTTTATAACCCTATGTTACAGTGGCTAATCCAGTCCTGCTGCCTCTGAGAGTACAGCAATATTTCCATGACCTAATCACTTTCTACTGGGCCCCAACCCTGTAATGGTCCCTCCATTTCTACATGCCATTATATTGAAGAGCAGACTTTTAGTACATGGGTCCTTTGGGGGACAAACCATATTCATACCATAGCAATGTGTAAGAAATGTCAACAGTGTGGTATAAATTATAGGCGGTACAGAGCCGAGGGCAGAATTTGGCTTCATGGCAGAAAGCTTGGAGAGAGTACATGTTAGATCTGGGGTGATGTCGTGGAGCTGAAAGGTGACAGCTGCCATTCAAGGTATCAGACCTGGCTGTCAGTGAACTGTGCTGGCTGCGGTAGAGAGCGATCTGCCTAGGGAGTTGAAAACGGTTCCTTGCAGCAGACTGTCTGAGGTTCTAAGGTGACTTCAAACTGGACAAGGGACCCAGGGTAACAGAATCTTGTTGATCATTCTCTGGTCCAGAGAAGCAACAGTGTAATGTGAAGTACATGAAACAGTCTAAAATATCACCAGTAAGCCCTGGAAATAAAAGCTCAGACTTTTCTGGTACCCAGGAGCCACTTCAGTCTGTCTACACACTATTTCTTTCCTGTTTTTCAGGAAAGCATTTCAGGAGCACTCAATCCTCAGGGAGGAAGTATCACCTACCCTTAAGAAAGAAAAAAACCTCCTGATAAACTCTAACATCATAAAATAAATTAAAGCGGTGGCCATTCATTTTTTAAAACAGCTCATTATTTCATAGTACTGATTGCAGGTTTTCAGTGAATAACCAACCATTTTTGGTGCACAGTGTGTGCCTCTATTTCCTGAAACTAGAAATGCCAGTTTTCAGAAGCATAACTATTATATAAAAGGAAATTTACTTATAAATGTTCTATTAATGTGATGTATTTTTAATAAACCCATTTCTAAAAGACAAGAATAGGGGGCAAGAAAGGAGAGGAAGCCAATATTTCCTCTTTTTACCCTTGGGGACCACACATACAGTGATTTTTATGTCTCTCAGCCTTAATTTAAATACCTGAATCAGTGATAAATATTATCAATGTCTCCATTTTTCCTTTCTGCAAATACTGTTCAAATATTATAATGAAGTCAATGAATGAGCTGAGAGCAGATTTGCATTTCAATAAGAGTCTTTTAAAAGGAAACCGATTTATGAGCTCTTTGTGGGCTTGACATAGTGGGTTTTGTATTAAAGTGTGGTTAAGGTGTGTCTTCGTTTTAGAAATTACGCAGACAAGTCCACATGAATCCTTTATGCACTTCACCTGATAACTAAATATAATTCCAGATAGGGCTGAGCCTTTTCGGGAGTTGGTATATGGGCTCAGGGGTCAGAAGTTCTACTTGTCACATGTGTGAGAGGGCCATGGGCCTCCGCCAGTTTCTCTTTCACATCAATTCCAAGTACCATCTGCCATTTTCATGGACTCAGCCTGCTGAAAGTAAGTGAATCTGCAAAAAAGTGAGATTTTTTTTTTCCCCTACAACATACAACTTCTGACTGTCTGAGACAGAGTTCTTACCATTTTAGGTGTTCTACCTAGCACAGGACCCTTGAGCAGATATACATATCCCTTGCTGGTAAAATTATTCCCAAAGATTCTGCTTCTTTGGGCCTGGGGCAGAGGCTGTGTTTTTCTTATAAGCTTTCACATTGGAGAGATTCCCAAAGTATGTTCTCCAGAGCAACAGTTTTGAGGGAAGGATCTTGTTATAAATGCAGACTCCAGGTCCCAACCCAACCTGAATCCAGTGAGTTGGAACCTGCTTTTATCCTGGCTGTTCATCCTCTATCAGGGCTTGGTAAACATTGCTCCCAGGAGCTCTACGAAGGCTCCCTAAGGAAATCTGAGATGCTTTTAGGCAGATTAAACAATAAACATTTTTATTTGGATAATTACTGTGTTTATTATTATTTTCCATTTATGGCAAGTGGTGGTGATTTACTGTTATAGTAAAGAATTAAAGTCAGGTATTATTTTTCAAAATAAAGTTATTTACTTTAAAACCATGGGTTGATTTATAATAAATGAATATAAGTTCAGATAGCATGTGGCTATATATAAAAACTATAAAAGTTGTTTGTATATAAAAGAGTTACTTTGGCATGGTGCTTACGTGACTGGCATCTGGAGCTAGACCTCGGGGTTTAATACCAGCTCTTCCACTAATTGTGTGACTTAGGGTAAGTTTCTTAGCCTGTGTGTCAATTTCCTCCTCTGAAGAATGCAGATAACCATCATGTCTATTTCATTAGATGTTGTGGTGTTTAAATGAATTACTGTGCAAAAAGCTCTCAGAACAGTGTATATCCCATAGTAAGAGCTGTGTCAGAACCAAATTGTTTCACTATTATTTAAGACAGGAATGCTCAGGGACTTTTGTTTCCTCTACCTTGTTCCCACCTCATTCAAGCCAACATACCCAACCTCCCATCAGAGGCTGTGGACTTCCAAGTTCTTACACCGTGGAGGACAGTGAGAGCGACCATCTCCACGTGACCATGGGAGGAATGGCAGGCTGTGACTGAAGGTCTCCTCACTAAATCACGAGAGAAAATGACAGCAGAGAGTGAGGGCTCCACGACAGTTTCCGCTATCACCTGGAGAAAAGGTTTAAAAATTATTATTATTGTATTTATCGTTTTGGGAGCCTTACCACATGTATTTTGAGAATGTGGACTTCGTTTGCACATGGCTCAAGAGTTCAGGGTTGTGCTTTCCTGGCTGCAGGGCACCTTTGATAGTTTAGTGCAAATGCCTGATCTTTAGATGTGGCAGGACCCTGCTGAGACTTGTGAGCTAAGGACTGCCTCACGGGGTGCATTTGCCTCCCTTAGTTCAGAGGTGGGACCTCTGTTCTTTTCCCCGATTTCATAGATGCCAAAACAAGGAACTTAGAGGCACCATACCAACACATAAAAAGTTAAAATACACAGGGAATCTTAGTTCAAATGTATTTTTAGACCCAACCAAAAATGCTTTTGTCAAATAGTAGCTGCAGCCCTTCTTGTTTATACGGGTTTTTTTTTTTAATAAGCACATGTTCTCTTTGTGAACAGCTGTAATCTGACAAGCTACCCTTGGGATGGGGGGAAATTCATAAACGTTTTGATGAGAGTAAAATTGTTCACCATGCGATATTTCTTTCTGAGTCAAAGCTCAGTTGATATAGAGAATATTACTCTTTATATGAGGAAGCTAGGAAACCCAGTCCACATGTATTGCTGGGCAGAGGAGGAAGGGAAAGAAGGGTATCGGAGGGTGGCCAGAAGGAGAGTTCATTTCCTACATCAAAGGGGTGCCTTGCCCGTCAAACCAGAATGGCTCCTGTTAAAGAGGTCAAACTGTGGCAATCTATTCTTTTGATCCACTGGACTTTAAAAGATACTTTTCAAGTTACAGTGAGCCTTCGTATCCATGGGTTCTCTGTCCACTGATTTAACCAAATATGGATTAAAATACTTTGGGGGGAAAAAAGTACATCTGTACTAAATATATAAATACAGGCTTTTTTCTCTTGTCCTTCATTCCTAAACAATACAGTGAGATAACTATGTAAGTGTGGCACATTATATTAGGTATTCTAAGTAAGCTAAAGATGACTTAGAGCAGTGGTGGTGGGCTACAGCAGGCAGGCCGTTTTTGTCATTGAAAGCTCTGACTTAGAGTATAAGGGAGAATGGTGTAGGTTATCTGAAATTACTATGCCATTTTATGAAAAGGATTGAACATCTGAGGATTTTGATCAATCTGAAAGTGTCCTGGAGCCCAACCCCATGGATACCTAAGGACGACTATACTTACCATAATTGTATTAAAATTGGGTTTCATGCAAAAGCCTAGATATGCACCTTTGTGGGGATAGGGAGGTTCTGGCCAATACTGGGCTTACACTCCCGTGAAGTGTCAGTGAGCCAGAGCTGCAAAGGGACCTCTCTGCTCTTAGCCTTGTTCCCACTGCACGGTTTCATCCGTTATCTACCCCATCTGAGTTAAGGGTCGAAGCCTGTTTTCTCCCTGCAAGAGTTGTAGGGAAAAAGAGCTCCTGACCTCTGGCTGGCTTATACTGTGAGGAATTCCTCAAGCACAAGAAAGTGTCTAAGCGATGTTAGTGACCACAGCCAAGACTCATGTCTGTCCCTACCCGAGGAAGGAGAACTTGGGGAATCGCTGAGCGTCATTTAAACCCCGGAGTGTTCTCAGCCTTCTCCCCTTTTCTCCAGCACGTGCAGAGCCCCTCAGGCAGCATTCATTCTCCCACTCCGGTCTCTCCTTGTATTATCTCACCCCTGATAACTAAAACAGACCCCACACCCACCTGCTGGCCTATTGAAAATGCAGTCGCTCTACCCAGTGTTTATTTGTTGTGCCTTTCCCTCAAGATTGAAATGATGATGGCATTCCTCACCAGTCCCTACTTTTCTTGGGGCATTTACCCTACTCCTCCATTTATCATAGTTATTTGTGGAGGTGACACTAAAAGAGCTTCCTGCACCACGTGTCTGCTATGTGTCAGTCAGTATTGTGGTCTTTACTTAAGGCTAACAGTAAACCAAGAATGATGCAGTCTAGCTCCTATTTTTCAAATAAAGAAAATGAGACCCACTGAGGTTAAGTGGGTTGACCAAGATTGTGCATCAGAGTGAAGGGCAGAAGAGTCACTCAGCTCTGTCTGATTCTAAGGGCAGCACGGGCTCTGAATTCAGCATCTCCTACGGAAGCACCCCGTTGGTTCTCTTTCCCTTATCCCTCTCTCTGGTGGCGTTTGAATACCTAAAGTGCATTTCAATGCTGCTTCTCAGCTCTTTCACAAGTCAGGAGGCAGTATAAAAGCTTTTGAGAGACTGGATTTTTAAAAAACTCTTAAACATTTGAAATATAGTTCAGAATAAAATAGCATTTTTAAGTGGGTCGCCAGAGAATACAAAGGATCAAAGAGCTCATGGTACAGCCTGTGACTTCCTAGAGCTCTGTATTCTCAACTGTCAGATTTTAACAAATACTTCTCTAGATAATTGCTTAATTATTATATCTGTCAAGAAAAAGCCTTTACAGCCATCAAGTTCCACATATAAAAATATCCCTTAGTCCCAGACTTTGAAAAAGCACTCTCGCGGTGATTGCAGTGAGGCAGATCCCAGTGGTACCTAATCATTCTCAGATTCCTCGGAGAAAACTAGATGGAGGACAGGAGCACACAGGGGGAAGGAAGTGGAAGGATTGTTCTCACCTTTGTGGGATCCCTTTCAATTCACAGTTTCAAAAATACTTTTAGATCTTTGCAAAATGGAAGCAGAGAAGTATTACAACCTGAATTGTACCCATTTGATAAAGCAATGAAGTGCAAGAGAAATTAGGTTTTGGATCAGAAAGGCCAGGGCTTTCAACTTAGCTTTGATGCTGTCTCTGAAATTTAGTAGAAACTGCATAAGCTGAGACACAATTTGGTTGTCTGTTGCATGGAAATACCAGCATCCACCCATAAGACTGATGAGAGTATTAAACAAAACAATGCATTAAAAGTCCCTAATTGTCTGCTGAGCATATACTGGACTTCCAAAAAGTTACACAGCTGATCCTCATTACTTGGTTTCTGTATTTGCAAACTTTCCTACTTGCTAAAATGTATGTGTAACTCCAAAATCAATATTCTTGGTGGTGTTGTGGTCATTCATAGACATTCAGAAAGTGGTAAAAAATAAAACTGTCACCCACCATGCACATTCCCAGTTGAGGTGGAACTAGCAGACAAAAACTGCCTGCTTTTTTTCAGCTCTCATACCAGAAAGAAGTGTCCCTTCTCACAGCTTATTTAGTACCTCCTATTTTGAATGTTTGTGCTTTTGCTGCTCAAGGGACCCTCTGGCCTAGTACTGCAGCATTGCTTTGTTTCTCAGCCAAAGAAAGCCCTATGTGTGAGTAGAAAATATGTGTGTTAGACAACCTTTGACCATACGTGGGTCACAGTGCTGTTGGCCAGGAAATCTGTTATTCTGTTCATGCCCACTACAAATGGAGTAATACCCACCAACATTCGTGAGAGAGATCTATCATTAGTCTCCAGATTCAAATGCTAACCCCCTTCAGAAACAGCTTCACAGATATACTCAGAAATAAGTTTCCACCAGCTACCTAGAATTTTATTTTATTTTATGCAGGAGGGAGTACCTGGCAGCCATTGTGGGAGCATGTGGAATCCTTCAGTCCATTCAAGTTGACACATAAAATTAACCCTGACATGACAATTTTATAGAATATAGCTATAATAACTAATAATAATTGACTGTACTTTGTTTAGTTCCTGTATTAAATATGGTAAGCATTTTTGGCTATAGCAAATTAACTCTAAAATCTCCATTGCTTAGCACAGCAGAAATGTATTTTTTATGTATATAAAGTCTCAAGTGTTTGGCAAGTGAAATTACAAAAGATGTGTCAGAAACCCGTATTCCTTTCATCATGTAGTTTTGACAGAACATAGGACTATTGCTTTCCAGCCAATGGACAGTGAAATAGAGGAATCATGGGTAGAAGTTCTCTTTGAGCCAGCCCAGAAGAAGAGCATATCATTTCTGCCTTCATTCTATTGGCCAGAGCTCAGTCACATCCTTACACCTTCTTGCAAGGGAATACTGGGAAGTAAAATCAAACTGCATGCTGAGGATCTCATGAATAACCCTGCCAAAATTTTCTTAAAGGTATTTTCCTACAGTCATTTTTCCTTAGGTAAATGGTAAAACTCTTAGGTGAGTAGCATTTCAGTTTTTTTAAGTTACTCTTCCAAACCCTTTCCAACTCTTCATCCGGGAAAGTGAGACTGTTTCCTCTCATGTGTCACCGTTAAAAGATGAGGTCCTTACATAATGACACCACTCTGTATTCTCTTGTTCTATTAATACTTCAGCCAGCCCTGCTGTAAATTTTTGACTGAAAATATTTTTGTCACCTCATACAAGATTATATAAAGAATATGCCCCATACCTTCTATGAAAGAAAGTGTCAAAATACAAATAGCTGCTAATTTATGCTTGTTCCAGTTAAACTGTGGACTCGTATCCAAATTTGTTTTAGCATTCAGGATGCTAGCTGTGTTGGACCTCATGTCATCTTATATATTAGATTGTGAATAAAATAACATTGACACTACTGGGAGCAGCATCTACTAAACTCTGAAATAACTGCTTGATTTTTCTGTGGTTTTATGCTGAAGGCTCTGAAGAGTATTTTTCTTTCTTTCTGCTCTTGTCTTAATATCAGAGAAAGAGGCAATAGCAGTGATTTTAAGGCTTCTTTTTTTCAGGGGGATACTTTATAAGAAAAGTAAGGTCTTGTTCAATGACCCGCTCACATAGATCCATGGAACTCTTAGAAAAATTGTAATAGACTCTTTTCCCAAATATGTTGCTCTGACATGTATATTTTATACCACTGGCAATTTTAGAAAATTCTTAATACTACTGAAAAGAGGCTAGTACCATAGGCTCCAGCTCTGCAATACCTGAGCATAGACCCCCAAAAATTCAAGGTGGCTGTAGTGGCACATGCCTCTAATCCCACTATTCAGAGAGACTGAGGCAGAAGGATCATCAGTTCAAGCTTAGTCTGGGCAACTTAGTAAGGCCCACTATCAAAATAAATTAACAAAGCTGGGAATGTAGCTCAGTTTGAAAACGTTGCTTTCAATCCCCATTACCACAAATGAAAGAAAATGACCATGAAAGAAAGTATGAGAGAATGAAAGAAAGAGGGTGGGGGGAGAAAAAAAAAGAAAAGAAAGGAATTTGAAATCAAGGTCTAAAAGAGACATTTGTACCCCGGTGTTCATAGCAGCATTTTTCACAATACCCAAAAACTGGAAGCAACCCAAGTATCCATGAGCAGATGGCTAAATAAAATGAGGTATTAACACATAAAGGAAAAAATCAGAAATTAGTACATGCTACGATGTGAATACACAGAAAATGTGTGACATGAACTAAGGCAGGCTCAGCCAAATATTGATTGGGTGGTTCCCTATACATAAGTAAATTATGTAGAACAGACAAATTAATAGGTACAGAAACTAGAATAGAGATTACCAGGTGCTTGAGGATGGGGACATTGTAGTTATTGTAGTTTCTGTTTGGGTTGATGAAAAGTTCCTGGGAGTGGGTAGTGGTTGTGGTTGCATAACATTATAAATGCACTTGGTACAACTGAATGGTATACTTTAAATAGTTAAATGTTTTGCCACAACAATTAAAATCACATTGGAAAAACTCTTGACTTTGAGCCTTTAAGCCTGGGTTCCAACCAGAGCTACCAGTTACTAAGTGTGTAAGACTGGTCAAAAACCTCGTGTCTCTGCGTGGCCTTTTGCTTGCCTATAAACGTGGGCTATTGCTACTGACCTTAGAAGAGCATTGCTATAAAAATTAATGTGTTATTTTGTCACATGATTGCCACAATGTAAAAATGTAAAAGAAATAACATGTAAGCAAATTCCAGTGGAATATATTAAGAATAAAGAATTATGATGCATAATACTGTTTTTCTACTTCTGTAGAGGTAACAGTATTTCATGAAAGAACACAAATGTCATTGTCCCTCTGAGGCGGGACAGCGGGATAAGTCTTGTCCGGCCCTCCAGAGACAACAGAAACACAAAGTCACTCCTGCTTACATCTGATGTTTATTGCAGCCTCTACTTAAATTGTTTTTAGGGTCCCGTGTGGGTTTTCCTGATTCTTGTGGACTTTCTTTAATACAGATTTTCAGTTCTTCCAATGTATCCTGATACAGGTCCTAAGACACACATCAGCAACCATACACACGCACATGCACACACATGCACACAAGCACAACACATGTTCGGCAGAGAGTTACCACATTTACCTGGAATTCAAAAATCCCACAATATTAACTCCCTGAAACAAAGCCAAATTTGCTGAATCTTGCCCAAAAGACCTCTAGAGAAAATACCAGATAGACTGTGCAGATGAGAGATGACATGACCTACCCAGAGGCCTGTGCAGAAACCACGACACAGAGACAATAAGAAAAGTCAGAGTTGACAGGAGAGAAGGGGGCAGAAAAATGACTAATACCCCTGTGAGCCTCACCCAAGGCTAGCATCATGAGTAATGCTGAGTCTGTGACAATCAGAAAAGGTTAAATTTCATTCCGTTTCTTCTCTTCTGGTCTAGAAGATGGGTGGGTGTCTATGCAGAACACATTGAAAATAATAAAACTACAGGTTCAAGGATAATGATACAGAATTCAGTTATCTGCAAAACTCATTGTACGATAAGGTGCGGCGATTTACACATCCTATTTATACTAAGACACAAATAGCTAAATTCTATCAGCTTTATCACCTAAGTTTCGCTAGAATCTGGCTACTTTTATCTGTCTCCAATACTTAGCCCTAGACCAGCTTCACCGTGAACATCCTGTGAGCGAGTGAATGAGTGAACTAATGAACAAGTGCAAGAAGGACCCTATCTGCAGTATGTATGTCTGCAAACCATGTGTTTCCTGTGAGTGAATAAAGACAGGCAAATTTAAAACTCTCTCTTCTTCTTTTTTCAGAGTGGAAACGACTCTCTTGGGACCATTTATTAGCAAGAGGACACCAACACTGTGACACATGCCGGTGCCGCCGCCACCACCACCTCCTTTGCCTCCACCTCCTCCCCCTCTGGGGGCTCCTCCCCCGCCCCCTCCATTAGCACCCCCGGTAAGATCTGTTTTTTTCTGTCCGTGTGAAGCATAAACTCATTGGATGTACTGGAGCAGAGAGTTTTCCGTGTTTTCTCTGTGGCAGCATCAGAGTCTGATTTCAAACCAGCCTGGCCCAGCTGTGTCTCTCCCCTACTCCCTGGCAGCTCTATCCTCCACCTCAACAGCCTGCTGATGTCTCCCTCACTTCCCCTCTGAATCCTGCTGCTGGGTGCAGGCTTTCTGATTCCTCTCAGTGACTTTTCATCTTGCTCGACACCTCACGAGGGAGACTATGCCAAAGCGCACAGCTGATGAGGCATTAAGAAGTCAAATTCCAGTGTGTCACTTGAAGGACAGTAATGATAACTTGGCCTCAGTCCCCTGGGTCTAGGTTTAACCCAGTTTGGTCCCCTGTGAAATGCCACAGTGAAATATAAATCTCTGGCTGAAGCTTCTCTGACTACACAAGACTGAGTTGAGTCCTGTCCATTTGTGCTGCCCGTTGGAGGCTGTTAGCTTCATAGCTGGGTTTGGGTTGAGGAAGAACGCTGAGAGGGCAGACGTTTTGTTTACAGGTAGGACTATCAACCTTGACTCGCTGACATTTGGGACCAGATCATCCTTGTGAGAAGACTGTCATTGGTGTTTTAGGATGCTGAGCAAGGTAGATGGCCTCCACCTACTACATGCCAGTAACACCAATGGTGGCCGTAAAGATGTCCCAAGGCATGGCCAAATGTTCCCTAGTGGGGGATAAACTATAGAGAAAGAATGGGAACATATGGTGGAGTTTCTTTGCTGAATTTGACCTCAGAAAGTCAAATTCACAATCATCAGAAGGAAATAATTAGTGAAGGAAACACATGAAATTATCACATGGATCTTTAACAGACTTGCACTGAAAGTGCAATTTATAATAATTTCAAGTAAAATGCTACAGAATGAATAGACGGGAAAAATAAACTTGTCAAAACCCACGTTATGAGAGATGTGGGGAGATAGTATCGTTTAAATGTTGCTGTGACACACAAATATCCGGGCGTAACAAATGATGAGCAGGTCTTCCTGAGGAGAGTTCTCTGACAGAAAACAATGAGCCCGTGTGTAGTACCGTGTTCCCATGGTAATGGGGTTGAGGTTTTTTGGTTTGTTGGTGTGTGTGATCCTGCAGCTTAAGCCCAGGGCCTTTGCACTGAACTACATCCCTAGCCCCCCTCTTTTTTTTTTTTTTTCATTTTTAAATTTTGAGACAGGCTCATTAAATTACTAAGTTGTCCATGCTAGGTTCTATCTTGTGATCTTCCTGCCTCAGCTTCCCAGAGAGCTGGGATTGCAAGCTTTTGTCACCACCCACAGCTAGGTTGTTTTTGTTTTTAGTTTAAGAATTTAACCATGAAGAAACCAGAAAGAATTTATACAATGGTGTGCACAACAATGCTCTTTATACTAGTGAAAATTAAGTGTATTGTACTATACTATTAATTAAAATTGCATTATATCATGTTAATTAAAAATTATGTCTATGGTGATTATGAAAAAGTAAATATGAAATCATAAATTAACAGCATACATTTGTGTATAGCAAAACCAGCTACATGTAACTAACACATAAATAGTGAAGATCAAAAAAGAATTTGATAATGCCAATAATAAAATTTAATATTTTATCGTGGAGTTCTTTTTCCTTGAGGATGCTAAAATTCAAAGTAGTTCTAAATTTGTTAATATTTTTCATTACCTCCCTCATGGTTTTTCTATCTGTCTCATAGAGGAACAAGTTAATTGTGAAAATATGAATAACCATGCAAATTTCAATTTGCTTTTGTAAATGTCTTTTTCTCAACCTAAGAAAATATTTACAATATGTATTTAAGATAAAGAATTAATGTATTTAAGATAAAGAATTAATGTCCTTAGTGTATAAAGAGCTCTTACAGGTCAATACATAAAGGGTGAGTAGAAGGACTGGCACAGCATATGGTCAAGAGGAAGAACAAACATTTTGGCCTTACTACAGTTGAGCAAATGCAACTGAGTAAACCACAGGTTGAAATTCTATAACCCAAAAATCTGAAACCTAAAATGTTCCAAAGTCCAAAACATCTCAAGCCTCAAGTCAGTGTTCAAAATTTTCAGATATTGGGTTATTTTGGATTTCATATTTTTTAATTAGGGATACACAACCAGTAAAGTATATGTAAATATTTCAAAATCTGCAAAATCTAAACTCTGAAACTCTGCTCCCAGCATTTCAGTTAAGGGATGCTCAGCCTATAATGAGAAACAATTTTCATTTATTAGTTTGTTAATGATACATTCTGAAGTTTGACTAAACTGTGAGGAATCAGGCTCTTATAACTCTTACTTAGTGGAAAAATTATTATAATTCCCTAAGACACCATTTGTCGATATAGACCAAATCCTCTAGAAAATCAATATGACCCAGGATCATTTCAAAACGTTTTTCTTTGAGTACCTAATTGTAGATGTCTATAAATATATAGCTACAGAATATTAATAGAAACATTACTTATAATAGCAACCAAAACAGAAAGAAACTAAATCCTCTAAACATTTAAGTGCAGAAGTAATTATATAATTCACAAAATGGCATATTAGACAGCCATTCAAAATCATTTCCAATTTATTTTGTAACTTCCAATGTGTAATTGTTCTAGGCAGGAACTTATCCATGGAAGCTTAAATTACTGAGCGAAAAGTTGTTGGGAAAGATAATATTCTCTAAACAATCCTAAATTCATATGGAATCAGAAGAGTTCAAAAATAGCCAAAGCAAACTTGAGTAACAGGAGCAAAGCAACACAATCCTGGATTTCAAATTATATTACAAAGCTATAGGGATAAAAAACAGCATGTTACTAGGACAAAAAGAGACATGTGGATCAGTGGAACAGAATACAGGATGCAGAAACAACTCCAGTCACATTCAGTTAACTGATCTTTCACAAAGGGACCAGAAACATACACTGAAGGAAAGATAGCCTCTTTAATAAATGGTGCTGGGAAAACTGGCTATCCACACTCAGAAAATCAAAGCTAGATCCGTATCTCTCATCATACACTAAACTGAAATTAAAAATAGATCAAATGTCTAAATGTTCAAACAAACACATTATCTGCTGGAAGATAAAATAGGTAAAACTCTTAAAGACATAGACATAGGCAAGAACTTTCAGAACATAACCCCGTTGCGTGAGAAATAATATCAGGGATCAATAAATGGAATCACATAAAATTAAAAAGCTGTTCCAGCACCTACCTTGCAAGCACAAGGTCCTGAGTTCAATCCTCAGTACCACAAAAAAATAAATAAATAAAAATTAAACTATATTAAATGAAAAAGCTTATGCACAGCAAAGAGAATAACCAACAGAGTGAAGAGACAACTTACATAATGGAAAAAAATTGCCAGCTACTCCTCAGACAGAATATAAAGATATCAAAAAAAGTAGCCCTCTAAAATAAAAGACCCAGTAAAAAAATGAACAACTGAAATGAACAGACGCTTCTCAGAAAAAGTACAAATGGCCAATAAATACATGAAAAAATGTTCAGCTTCTTTGGCCATTAGAAAAACTGAAAATTAGAACAGTAGTAAGAAAGGCTAGTGTCAAGAAACCAAAATGTAACAAGTGCTGGTGAGGCTGCAAGGGAAAAAGAACCTTTGTACATCGTTGGTGAGAATGAAAACTAGTATAACCATTATGGAGAGCAGTATGGAAAATCCTTGAAAAAGTGAAAATAGAAATCGTATTTGATCTAGTTCTCCCCCTTCTGGATTTCTTCCCAAAGGAGATAAAGATGTCATAGTAAAGTGATATATACATAGCCGTAGCCATGTTTATAGCAGCACAATTTCTAATTACTAAATCTTAGAAGTGGCCTCTGTCCAACAACCGATGAATGGATAGAGAAAATGTGGAATTTATATACAAAAGAGCACACTTTACTACAAAGAAGAATAAACTCGGAAAAATGGATGCACCTGAGACCATAATGTTAAGTGAAATAAATCAGTCACACAAGCTGAAATGTTGCATGGTTTATTAAATGATAAACCCAAAATATAAAGAGCAAAATAAAAGATGAATAATAGAAACAGGAAGATAGATCTTTTTCAAGAGGTGGAGAAGGGAAGGGAAGGGGATGAAAAAGTTTACATGTACCAAATTCCTCTAAGGAATGTAATTATTAGGCAGAGGAAACACACACTTATAAAAAATAGAAACTGGTAAAAAAGAGAAAGAACATTCTCTGTACCCTAATCATCACTCACAGATTAATTCTTCTGTGGGGAAAGGTACAGATTGCTTCTAATTACACGGGTGAGAAAGTCCCTTACAAGAGATCAGACTCAGAATCTCCTGTAATGCACAACCTTACACCACAAGTCCTTTTGCTATGATGCAGTGAGAAGTTCATAGCATCACCATATAACAATCTGCCCAAATAACCCTGCCCTTCATTCGTCACCAGCAATCGGGGTCCTTGTTGCACGTACATGAGATCTTGTTCCTCCTCCTCTCTTTGCTTCTCAGGGACTTCCCACCCACTCTTCACTATGGCCCACTCGACCCTAAATGGTGGGGCCCCTGCCCTCTCCTGGGAACCTCCATTCTCAGAGCTCTTCCTTCTTCTTTCTACCCTGAAGTCTCTTCCCCCAGAAGTCACCTCCTCCTACCCTCCACTGGCTTCAATACATACTTTAAAAACCCTCCTTTTGGGCAGTGACCTGCCTTCAATTTTCTGTTGGTTTGTTGGTTTGGGTGGGTGGGTGATTGGTTGGTTGGGGTTTTTTGGTTTGGGGGGTTTTTGGCCTGGGGTCTACATTTGATGTTTTGTGCTCTCTTATGTCCCTCCCTCTTGTTGGGCTTGCAATAGGCACTTAGCTCATTGAATGAATAAGTAAATATCTGTATTAAAAGGTTGAGAAAAAGAGTTAAGGTTTCTCAGGGACAGTGTGCAGCACACTAAATATCTGTGCTGTTGAATTAT